CGTTCAGTGACCCTTCCTCCCCAGGGCCCTGCCCCTCCTCATTTCCTGCCAGGGCACAGCACTGATCACACCTGGCCTGGTGTTTTTTTTTAATTATAGTGAAATACACATACCGTGAAATGGACCATCTTAATCATCTCTGAGTGTGCGGTTCAGTAGCGTTAAGTACATTCACGCTGTTGTGCAATCTCCAGAGCTCTTCATTGCAAGACCAAGACTTTGTATCCGTTAAACAGCAACTCCCCATCCTCCCTGCCCCCAGCCCCTGCCAACCACCGTTCTTTCTGTCTCTGTGAATTTTCCTCCTCTGGGAAGCTCCTGTGATGGAATCATACAGTATTCGTCTTTTGGTGACGGCTTATTTCCCTTAGCGTTATGTCCTTTAGGTTCATCTCTGTGTAGCATGTGACAGGATTTCCTTCCTTTTTAAGGCTGAATAATGTTCTGTTGTACGTATAGACCACATTTTGTCTTTCCATTCATCTGTTGATAGTTTCTACCTTTGGCTGTTGTGAATAGTGCTATGAACATGGGTGTACAGATATTTCATCAAGATCCTGCTTCCAGTTCTTTCCAGTCTGTATCCAGAAGTAGGATTGCTGGACCATCAGGTAGTTCTATTTTTAGTTTTCTAAGGAATCTTAAAACTAAACTAAGTTTTAGTTTTCTAAGGAATCATCATGCTGTTTCTGATAGTGACTGTACCATTTTACATTTTCACAAACAATGCACAAAGGTTCCAATTTGTCCACACCCTCGTCAACACTTGTTATTTTCTGTTTTTTGTTTGTTTGGTTATTTTTGTTTTAAATTGTGGCCATTCTCATGGGTTTGAGATGGTATCTCATTGCGGTTTTGATCTACATTTCCCTAATGATAGTACCCCCGTGCTGCTATACAGTAGGACCTTGTTGTTTATTTTATCTATAGTAGTTTGTATTTGCTAATCCCAAACTCCTAATTTATCCCTCCTCTCCCTCTCCACTTTGGTAACCATAAGTTTGTTCTCTGTGTCTGTGAGTCTGTTTTTGTTTTGTACATAAGTTCATTTGTATCATATTTTATTTTATTATTATTTTTTTTTGCGGTACGCGGGCCTCTCACTGCTGTGGCCTCTCTCATTGCGGAGCACAGGCTCCAGACGCGCAGGCTCAGCGGCCATGGCTCACGGGCCCAGCCGCTCCGCGGCATGTGGGATCTTCCCGGACCGGGGCACGAACCCGTGTCCCCTGCATCGGCAGGCGGACTCTCAACCACTGCACCACCAGGGAAGCCCCTGTATCATATTTTAGATTCCACATATAAGTGATATCACATGATATTTGTCTTTCTCTGTCTGTCTGACTCACTTCACTTAGTATGATAATCTCTAGGTCAATCCATATTGCTGCAAGTCTTTGCCCATTTTTCAATCTGGTTGTTTTTTGTTTTTGCTGTTGCTGTTGTTATTGGCCTCTGGTTTTTAGGTGTAGAGAATTTGGTGTGCACTGGCTAAGCTCTGAGAGGGCAGGGCCATGCCCTCGTACCCTGCTGTCCCCCAGCACGGGGCCCTGCACGTGGTTTATTAGTGGATGAATAAACATGCAAGGAGCTCTCATCAGCAAAGGAAAAAAGAATGTATTAGTCTATCCATCCGTTCTTGTTTCAAGAAGGTTTTAAGGCTCTGGTCACATCTCTTTGGAACCATAGTATATGGGGTGACGAATGGAGGTGACTTGAAGAGGCTTTAAGATGGATAATCCAAAGTCTTGACACACGTCATTTAACTACTTTTGGACCACGCTCGTTTCATTGAGAATAAATCCTATTTTGCCTCATAAGGCTGGTCTCAATGGTGAAACTTTGCATGTGTTTAGTTATTTTATAGTTTCAAAATATGCTGCCATCTAATTAGTCTCCTTTGATCCTCCCTTATGAAGAAGGCAGGGCAAGGGTAATGCCAGCCCTATGATGGAAGGGCAGGAAGGAGAGGCTGACCCATACGCCCATCTCTTCCCTTCCTCGCATGTTTCCTCCTCGGTCCTCGGTGCTGATTCCCCTCCCTGATCTCAGTCTCTTCCCGGGTCAGTCACCTAGTCTTACCAGGTCTCTGCCGCTGATGGCCCTCCTCCCTCCCTGTTCCCTTTTCCCCTTTAATTCAGGTCCCTGTGGTTCCTTACCTGCATCACTGGTGTCTACCTCCAGGCACAATGCTGTTTACTGCTGCCAGAGTAAACTTTCTGAAGCCCAGATTTGCTCAGTTTCCTATTGAGTTTGAATTCTTTGATGTTTCCACATTGCCTTCAGGATAAAGTCCACACCCCTTGACGTGGTACCCTGGCTGCCTGCAGCACTGCATCCTCCTTGCCTGCATCCTTAGCAGATGCTGCGTCCTCTGCCCAGGATGCCCTCCTCCCCACACCTGACTACCCCAGCTTGTTCTCAAGTTTCTATATCCTCCTGTTTACCCTGAGGGGCTGCCCCAGCTGGAGTCGGCCCTCCATTGCCTTGGCTCCCTGTGTGGCTGTGTTTCCCTCTTGGCAGCATGTGGCTGTCTGCAGGTCATTGTACATTTATTTGTCAGTCTCCCCGCTGGTCTGTGCTCTCTGAAGCCAGGGCAGCGTCTTTTATCTCCGTGTTTCAATAATTAGCCCAGTGGCTCTCACAGAGCAGGGTCTTTGTGGAAGGTAGGAGGGAGAGGAAAAGGGGAAGCTTGTCTGATGTCAAAGTTCATGCTCTCCATGTCTTTACTGCCCCCTCCCACCCCACCCACCCCCCGACCACCAGTGCATTCTCCCAGTCCAGGGTGGCGGGGTCATGGGTTGACTCCCAGAGTGACCCAATCAGCTCTGCTTCGCTCTGCAGCCACCCTGAAACTCACCCACCCTGGCCTGCCTTCTGGTAAACGCATCCCAGCAAAGAGAGATGACTCATGTGTGACTCAGCACGAAGGCAGCACAGCTGGAAAGGGGGCCAGTGTGTCTGCTTGGGGGAGGGCGGGCCACAGAGCACGAGGGATCCAGGCCTGCCAACTGGAACGAAGGCACGAATCCTCCTCTGTCCGCGGAGAGAGAGGCTGTAGTAGCAGAGCTTTACAAAACTTAGATACCTGGGATTCCATCTAATTTATTACTACTAAGTAATATTTTATTAAACTATTATTTAGTGCATGCCTACCATGGTTATAGGCACTGATAAGCATCTTGCATACAGATTATCTCGTTTAATCCTCACAATAGCCCAACAACAAAAATAATAGCGAATACATGTATAGCCCTTACTATGCACCAGATACTATTCTAAGTAAGCACTTTGCACTTTTGAAGTCACCTCATTCTCACAGTAACCCTGCAGTACAGGAACTGCTGTTATCCTCATTTTACAGATGAGGAATCTGAGGCACAGAAAGGTCAGAGGTGCTCCAGAGTCACACAGGAAATAAATGACATCTTCTTTATCCATTTGTCTGTTGATGGACACTTAGGTTGCGTACATGTCTTGGCTCTTGTAAATAGTGCTGCTGTGAACATTGGGGTGCATGTGTCTTTTTGAGTTAAAGTTTTCATCCTTTTTTCTGGATAAAGAAGATGTTTTATACACGCACACACACACACAATGGAGTATCACTCAGCCATAAAAAAGAATGAAATAATGCCATTTGCAGCAACATGGATGGACCTAGAGATTATCATACTAAGTGAAGTAAGTCAGACAGAGACAAATATGGTATCACTCATGTGGAATCTAAAAAATAGTATAATAAATCTGTTTACAAAACAGAAACAGATAGACATAGAAAACAAGCTTATAGTTAGTTACCAGAGGGGAAGGTGCTGGGAGGGATAAATTAGGAGTATGGGATTAATAGATGCACACGACTATATATAAAATAGACAAGCAACAAGCATTTAATGGATAGCACAGGGGACTATATTCAATATCTTGTAATAACCTATAATGGAACATAATCTAAAAATATATAGCTGAACCATTTTGCTGTACACCTGTAACTGACACAATATTATAAATCAACTATACTTCAATTTTTTTGAAAAAGAGGGAGGTGTGGGTTCCCTGGTGGCCTAGTGGTTACGATTCTGGGCTTTCACTGCCGTGGCCTGGGTTCAATCTCTGGTCCAGGAACTGAGATCCCACAAGCTGCGTGGTTTGGCAAAAAAAAAAAAAAATCATCAATATCAAAAAAATAAAAACAAAGAGGGAGGAAATAAATGGCAGAGCTTTGATACAAGCTCAGGTTTCTGAGTCCACACTCTTTTTTTTTTTAATTATTTTTATTTTTGGCTGCGTTGGGTCTTCATTGCTGCGCGCTTTCTCTAGTTGTGGAGAGCAGGGGCTACTCTCTGTTGTGGTGCGTGGGCTTCTCATTGCGGTGGCTTCTCTTTGTTGCAGAGCACGGGCTGTAGGTGCGCAGGCTTCGGTAGTTGTGGCTCGTGGGCTCTAGAGCACAGGCTCTATAGCTGTGGCACACGGGCTTAGTTAGTCCGCGGCATGTGGGATCTTCCTGGACCAGGGATCAAACCCATGTCCCTTGCATTGGCAGGCGGATTCTTAACCACTGTGCCACCAGGGAAGTCCTGAGTCCACACTCTTAACCCTGCATCATGCTTCCTCGATGAAGTATAACTGCAATCCCATTTTTACAGGGAAGGCGATTACGGCTCAGAGAGGTTGGTCACTTTTCTATAGTCACACAGCCAGGGAATGATGGAGGTTGGTGGTCTCCAATTGCTGGCTGCAGCCACTGTGCCTTCCTGCCCAGATCAGGAGACATCGTCATGATATGCCGTGTGCTGGCTTCTCCTTTCCCCTCTGCACTGGTGCTCCCAAGGGCCAAGTCCAGAGGGTGGGTGGGATTCTCGGGAAGAAAATCTTCTAAGTCTGGGGTTACAGCCAAAGGGAAGCATTTGATGGCACATTCTGCTCCAGATCTCCTTTCAGTTTTGGGTCCCAGAGCACTTCCTCACCCAGGGATGCTGACGTGGCTCTCGTTGCCTCCACAGATGGCGAGACGGTGCACTACCACTACGGGCCGAAGGACCTGGTCACAGTCTTGTTCTACATCTTCATCACCATCATCCTGCACGCTGTGGTGCAGGAGTACATCTTAGACGTGAGCGACATGTCTGGATTCCGAGATGGGAAGCTGGGGGGATTCGGCGGGTGGAGCGGCTGCAGCTGTGAGGCCTCCGCTTTGTTTGGAGGCCCTGGTTGGTCCTATAGCAACTGGATCTCCTGCACCACGGTTTGGTCTCCGTCCCCCTCAAAGCCTTCGTAGCCCGTGGGACCACAGTGTTTATTACACGGGAGGGAGCTGCTTGACGTATGACGACACGGTGTCCTCAGGGGTCGAACACGGCAACCCTTGGGGGATGTTTTCTTTACATCTCAGCTGACGACATTCATCTCGCCGCTTCCTCAAAATGCTTGCCTTAAACTAAACACTATATGCACACACGAGGCTTCCATGGAATAACTTGGATGAGGCTGGCTTCAAACTTCAGCCCTTTTGTGGGGGGAAAACAGGAGTTTGAAATCTGCCGTTACCTATACACTCACGTTAATACGCAGGATTCTCTTTATTCTTTAGAAAATCAGCAAACGGCTTCATCTCTCCAAGGTCAAGCACAGCAAGTTCAACGAATCTGGACAGCTGGTCGTCTTTCACCTCAGCTCGGTGATCTGGTGCTTCTACGTGGTGGTGACGGTGAGTGGTCCTAGGGAGTGCTGATGGCTGGGGCCCGGGCTGCCATGTTATCACCGTGAGAGAGGGGTCAGTGGTTTAGGTGCTATTTAATAGCTGGGGAGCGTCCTCTGGTCCAAAAGTAAACACTTGTTATCGTTATGATGTGATGTCACGGTGATGACAGCGTATAGCTCCATAGCTCTGTGTTCCGTCCTGGGGCCCTCGCACGGTGCTGTCCCCTGAGCTGAGTTTTATGTTCATTCCGGTACCTGTGTTATGGATTGAAGAAATCCAAGCTCAGATTTCGCAGTGGCCCCATGGTCACGTGGTTCTGAAGTGGCCAGGCCTTGGACTTGAGGGTCTGGTTCTGTTGCACCACACTGGCCTCCCAAGGCTCGGCCAGCATCCCCCTGCACGCACGTCAGTCAGGTCCCGTGAGAGTCAGTGCTGTTTCTGCGAATGCCTGGAGGACCAGACAGTTGACTCACCTCCCCTTTTGCACAAGAATACTCTTATTTCAAGCAACCTTTGATACAGCAAAATTCCTTCGTACAAAGGAATGTGGACAGCCCTTCGGGGTCCTTTGTAACAAGCCTGTCGTCCTAGGAAGTGTTTAATCCCCTCCATCCCCCCGCAACCTGGAGCACCTCCTGTCTGTAACCGGGTCTCTTCCTCAGGAGCTAGAATTGTCCTGTGAGAAATCCAGGGCCGGGGCTTGGAAAATTCAGCAACCCTGTGACCTCCTAGAAGCTTCCTTCCCTGCCTCCCCTGACCTCTCACCCCCTTCCCCTTCCTTAGCAACAGTGATGAGCTTTCCCGTCCTCAAGACCAACCTATCTGTCTGCGAGCTGAACGCTGAATCCATATTCTCAAAGCGGGACTCAGCATGCCCTTTTGTATATTACCTTTATTTCTATTATCATTTAATCACAGAACAATAGGAATTTTAAATGCAGGGCCCAAGGCCTCTGTGCTCTGGAGCAGGCCTGCCACATTATACTCCCCCTGGGGCAGACTTTGTGTGTGGTCTGTGTGAGTAGCGCCCCCTACCTTTGTGCAGCACACGTGCGGCCCCGGGGAAGTCTAGGTACGGCTGGGCTCAGGCCTCTCCCAGCCACTGGGTGTTTGGTTTATGCGGCCTCTGGAGACCCCGAGCTGCCTTGAAGCAGAACAGCCCTCGGGTCCCACGGACATTTAACTGCTCTTGCAGGAGAAGCGTTGCCTCATCTCTGAATCACTTTTGCCCTTTCTGCCTCAACCCACCGTCCACCCCAGCTGTGACCCAGTTTCACCAGATTCGCAGGCCAACAGCCAAGGGACTTCCCCCCAGTTCCAGAGTGTGCAAGGCTCCTGGGCCGTCCAGGGCTTAGAAATGATGCTCGTTAGTCTGGAGCTGCCACGCTTTTCTGGGGACGTTTATAACAGGCTTTTACCATGGTGATAGCCAGGTCTCCACTCAGCATCTCCAGAAGGAGAATAGAGACCAAGGGAGCCTGGAAAGTTCCAGTGACCCCAGGTCCTGATACATCGTGTGGCTCTCAGACCTCACCTGCTCCCTCCAGGCCATTCTGCACGGAGTGAAGGTGACTGAAGAAGAGAGGGTCGTTTTGTAAAAGGAGTGAAAACAGCTAGTTTTTTAAATCCTATGTTTCTGTTATGATGAACTTTTTCTCGATTCTTCTCTCTCGCTCTCCGGTCAGTCCCTCGGCAGGTTCCGCCACCCACTGCCACCAGCACATGGAGCGTCTGTCGCCTGCTGTCTGCCTACACCTCTGCCCCCGGGCCCATGGGTCTCTCCAGGGGATGCTGGACAGTACGCTGCCAGCATCTAGTGGGTCGAGGCCAGCGATGCAGCAGAATGTCCTGTAGTGCCCAGGACAGTCCCCACAGCAAAGACAGTCTGGCCCCAGGTGTCACTAGTGCCACGGTCAGGAGGCCCTGAGCCGCATCTCTTGCTGGACCACTTCTGGAAGGAGGCCGTTTCCACTCCTGTGTCCGCTCACCCCAATCCATCGTCTGCCCAGCCAGACAGATCTTTTTAGAACATAAACCAGATCACGCATCCCCTGCTTCAAATCCCCTGTCGCGCTCGTGCTGAAGTGGTTCTCCCTCCTCACTCCTGTGCTCTGGGTGCTGCTGGCCTTATCCGTCTGGCTCACTGGCCCCAGCCCCACTGTTCCTCTGACTCTCCTGGCTCTCCTGCCTCCTGCGCTTTGCAGGGGTGCTTCCTCTGCTGCAGTGCTCCGTCCCCTGACACCCCGTGCCATCCAGGTCTCCACCTACACGTAACCTCCGCAGAGAACTCCCCGCACACTTGCGTCTGCTGCACCACGCCTGTTGCTGTGGCCTTTTCTTGAGCTGTGCATTCTCTGCTGCCTGCCTCTCCCTCATACTAGCCCCCGAGCTGCTGGGAGCAGGCACCGTGCTCACCGCTATCCCCCAAGCACAGTTCCTGGTGCACACTAGATGCTCACTCAGTATTGTCGTGAGAGGGAATAAGTCGACTGCGACTGCCTTTTCTCGTTCCAACCTTCAACAGTTTTTAAAGTAATGAATTGCTTGTTTTTATGAACATCATAGATGATCATTTAAAAAAAAATAAGCCATACATAAAAGTTTGAAAAAGAAAGTAAAAATTGACCCTAAATCCCTCCCCCCACGAAATAACCAGCTTGATCTTGGTGTTGAATTCAGACATTTCTCTGCATTGATCCAGGCAGGGTGATGGGGTCGTAGATGGGCCAACTGATAATTTAATAAGAATGTCGACCTCCTACCTTTAGTCTAGCTCTCAGCTACTGTTCATTGTTCAGGGGAAGCAAAACGCTGTACTGGGAAAGCAGGGTGGGAGGCTGCCTGGCTTCCCAGGGTGCCTCCCTTCACAGTTTAAACCTGCAGCCCAGCGCTCAGCGGGAGCGCCTCTGAGGCAGGGGCTCAGGTAAGGGCTGCCTCCTGACACACAGACTGCCTGCAGCAGAACCTCAGCAGTGGGTGTTCCTGAAGGACCACTGGGTCCGGGCAGCAGCTGTGTCAGGGCTAGATGCTGCTCTCTCTTCCTGTGGTGCTTTTTGTTCATCCACTGGAAAGGAAGGCTGCAGGGGAGGGGAGGGGGTGTGCCAGCCCGCTGAGGCCTCCCTTGCTCCTGGTTGATTTGTAGAATCAGGAGAGAACAGAGGATCTTAAAGCCCGCCCCCCCAGACGGCAGGCCCACTGGCGGGTGGGATCTGGGGGCGAGCCCACACTCGGTGTGCTGTGCTGAGCTCCGAGGGGCCCCGGCCCAGCCTCCCTGGGCGGTTGCCTGGCCCGAGGTCTGGAAAAGACTGTTCTCAGTGAGTCATTCTTCCTCTGGCTGCCCTGCTCGCCTCCCTCCGCCCGGGACTGCCCCTCACAGGCCGGCAGCATTGTTCTGGGGCGTTTTCTCTGCTGGTTGGCTTCACAGTTCTGATTTCTTTGTCTCCTGAGTAAAGCGCCAAGCTGGGGAGGGTCCCTGTTTAAAATCACAGGATCGTCTGGGCTTTTTGAGCTCTTAGATTTCTGTCAGGGCTGCTTTTCTTGGCCAGTCTTTTTTTGGCGGAAATTCTTCTCCCACTTCGATCCCAGAAGTACCATTTTCATCCTTAAATACATTGGTGTTTCCTCTAGGAAGGAATGGCCTCCCCACTTCGGTTTCCCTGGAAAGGGGGTAGGGAGGGCGGAAGGCCGTGAACCTGTGTGCCTGGGGCCGGCATCTGATGCAGGCGGCGTGTGGGGGGCAGAGAGGGGTGGCCCCAGTGTGGGTGCGGAAAAGCCCTCTCCTCCCACCCCCGCGCGCCCCAGAGCCTCCCACCTCTGCCGAACTCTGAGGGGGAGATGGAATGTGGCCAGGAGGGTCTGGTGGGGAGACCCTTTCCTTCAAACCTAAGTTACTGTGACTGCCCTGGGGCCTGCACCTGACGGGACCGTCCGTTGAGTCATTGTGCTAATGAGGCCCTGGTCGTATCTGAAATGTCCAGGGGCACTTAGGGACTCAGGGTCTGGGTGGGAGTACGACTGAGGCTCCAGTAGTCACCTGGAGGCTCCTCTGGGAACTGCTGGGCCTCCTCCCCGCCCAGGGCAGCCCCGTCCTCAGTCCCGGTGGGAACATCTGAGGCTCTGGGCCTCCTCATCAAAGCCACCAGTCGGTTGGTTTATTTCTGACTCACCAGGACAGCCAGGCCTGGGGCGCTTGGACCAGGAGGCTTGAGGCGCAGCCCAGAATTCAGTCGTGCTGCCGAGAAGCCACCTTGTTTTGGGAACTCCCTCCTTTCCCTGTTTCTAAAAGGAGGTCAGGCTGGCGTCACCTCCTCCGCCCTCTCTGAGCGTCGCGTGGCGTCAGCCTCCTTTTGCTCGTGGTGGGCCGTTTCCTCGTATGTTCTGTAATCTTGGATTATAAACTTATCTTTAGCAAGGTTGTGTGTGTGAGAACCCTGTACGTTCTCGGATGAAAGTACGTCCCGATGGCTTCACCGGCCCCCAAATACTGTTAATACCAAGTTAGTGTGAGGGCGCCTAGACACACAGGTGATGTCCATTTGAGCTCCAAACCCCCGTGAAAGCAAATCTGAAGTTACAGATTTTCAGGGGGTCATATTTTTGTTTCCATCCTGAGCCCCGGGTGAGCAGACATGGTCCTCTTCTCCCTGCCTTGCTCGTCGGACCCTTCCTAGTCTCCCTTTTCTCTGGGGTGCTGGCCCTTTAAGGGTCTCCTGTTCCCACGCAGGCGCGAAAGCTCTGGCCCTACAGCCTCACCGGCTCGGGCTTTTAGCTCCCTACCCTCTTGGGCCCTCGGGTTTTCCCTTTCTTATTGTGAGCTCAGCTTTGCATTGAAAAGAACATTTGTTAGACTGCATCCAGCATGTCCAGATGTTTTGTAACAGGAGGGTTTTCAGGTCACCTCCCCCTACTCTGTAAGAGGACCTGGGCTAAATACTGGAGATGCAAGGAGGCGCCAGAAAAAGAAGCCAGAAAAGAAGGCATGAACAGAGCCCTGGCGGCCCGGCAGTGATGGTGCTATGTGATAAGTGTCACACGTGAGGCCCGTTGGGGAGGCCTGTGGGGTCCTGCCATGCTTTTTATTTGTGGTGGTGTGAAAAGCCAAAGTAGGCTTTTCGTTTTTCCAGGGGACGGTGGCTCTGGAGTCCATTTGCTCATTCACTCTACAAGCATTTCCTGAGTGCCTGCACGCCAGGCATAACACTCGACGCTGTCACATAAACATAAACTGTCACGTTTATTTCTAACAATAACTCTGGGAGGGTATTTTTATCCTCATTTTACAGATGAGCCAGCTGAAGCTCGGGGAGACTAACTCGCTCAGAGGATGTAGCTGATCAGTGTCAGACCACAGTCAGACTCAGGTCCTCTGACCCCAGAGCAGGGCTCTTCCTCCTACATCACGGCTCTCTTCTATAGTAAAGAGACGGGCCAAGTGCCAGAGGGGTTCCGTGTTCACGTTTCCTGTTCCTTCCTCATTCTGGCAGCTGGGGACTAGGTGCGACCCTGACCCCCGGGCCCGCCCAGCAGGCCTCACGTTCACATTTCTAAACGCTGTCTCTTCCCGTCCACTACAGGAAGGATATTTAACAAACCCAAGGAGCCTCTGGGAAGACTATCCGCATGTGTACCTCCCGTGAGTATTGTCGCCCTCGGTCCCCAGGGAGGAGCGGGCTGGTGCACTGGCTTCTCGCCCCACAATGTGGGCAGAACACAGGCCGGTGAGCCCGAGGACCAGAGCGCCCCCGAGCCTGGCAGGGCCCAGTGTCATGGAGGCAGACGTCTGGGAGCTGCTTCCTCCCCGTGTTCTTATGGGCAATTCCTGAAATGACACGTCAACTGCAGGAGCCCGGGCACAGGGTCCTGTCTCTGCCCAGGCTGCCATCACAGAGCACCGCAGATGGCGGGGTTCCCAGGGGCTTATAAACAGCAGACATCCCTTCCTCACAGTTCTGGAGGCTGGCAGACCCAGTGTCTGGTGAGGCCGCTTCCTGCTTCATGGATGACATCTTCTGTGTCCTCACGTGCGGAAGCAGAGAGGGGCCTCTTTCACAAGGGCACTAATCCCACTCTGGGGGGCTCCAGCCCTGTGACCTAATCACCTCCCAGAGGCCCCATGTCCCGGTACCATCACTGTAGGGGTTAGGATTTCAACATGTGAATTTCGAGGGGGTGCAAACATTGGGTCTGTAGCAGGTTCCTACAGCGCCTGGGAGGGACGGGGAAGCAGAGCCTCTGCACGGAGCTTTCTGGGCTGCGCCCTCCTGGCACCTGCACACGTCCGCACACATCTCCCCTCAGGCCTCCACGGGAGGCAGTGCCCCTCCTCTCCTGCGCCGACAGGACACCGGGAGGGCAGAGCTGGGCCCGTGTCCCCCAGAGACCACGGCCCTTAGAACAGCAGCACTGGAGACTGAGCAGAGTTAGGTCCTCCCTCTGCTGCTGAGACCCCTTTATTCCTCAGCTCACTCCTGCCACCTGCCATCTCCTGCCCCGACAGCGCTCTGGATTCGGCCCCCTCCTCAGCCTTCCCTCCTCTGCTCTCTCTTCATCCTTCTTGTGTCTTTTCATGGACTTCCCATGTCCCTCCACGTGCATGGTCTTGTGTGTGGAGCAGTGTCCTGGGCTCAGGGGCGTGGAGCTCACCATCCCCCCGCCCCTCTATTCCTCCCTCTCGGCCCAGCTCCTCACACCGCCTGGCCCTTGCCCCCACCCCACCCCGTGCTTGGCGAGCACCTGTAGGGGCTTCTCTCCATCCCTCTGGGTGACTGGCCCCCTTGTCTCCAGCTTCCAGGTGAAGTTCTTCTACCTGTGCCAGCTGGCCTACTGGCTGCACGCACTTCCTGAGCTCTACTTCCAGAAGGTACGGAAGGTGAGTACTGGTAGCCCCTCTGATGCTGCTGGCCCTCCCTCTGGCCGCCCACGTGTGGGGGTGGACACGGGGGTATGTTGGCGTGTTGAGTGAGATGCTGAGCCAGTGCCTGTTGGAATCTCCCTGATGACCTCCAGGAGGGGGGCTGCCTTGTCAGACTCCCGCCTCCCACACGAGACGTGTGGCTTTGGGGGGCCTGACTCATCTTCGGGGGAGCGGATGGAGAGTTCTTTGCCTTTCCTACAGTTTTTTTTTTTTTTAAAGGTTCTCTCTGGCTGATTTCCTAAAGCCCTGTTCCCCAGTCCCTGTCTCTTCTTTCTCAACCTAGTCCCGCCCCCTGACCACTGAGTCGCCTTCAGACTTTGTGCAGCCAGGTGCGCATGTCCCCGGTGGGACCTGGGGCTTTCTGGCAGCCCCGCTCCGCAGGCCTGCCATGTCCTTCTGCACTCCCCCTGTTCCTCTACCTCCCCCTGCATCTCCAGTTATGGAATGAGCACATGTCCTGTTTGCCTCTCTTGTCTGCAGGAGGAGATTCCCCGGCAGCTCCAGTACATCTGCCTGTACCTGGTCCATATTGCAGGCGCGTACCTCTTAAAGTGAGTGACACCCGGAGCGGGCCAGATCTCCCTGCCTTTTATGTCTGTGCCTCTCTCCACACAGTCATTTAATCAGGAGGCATTTCTTAGACACTTACTGTGTGCCAAGCACCATGCTAAGACCTGGGAATACACAGATGGATAATGGAGGGTTCCTTTATGTTTACTGGATTATTCTCTGCCGAGCAGGAGAGACAGTTACAGACAAAGGTAAAGTCGGTTAGTGGGATGAGCACTGTGCTACCATATGGACCACCTGCCATGGGAACCCAGAGGAGCGACTACCTCAACCCGAGACAGGGCCAGGGAAGGATCCCAGGGACGCGGGCCGTGAACCAGGGCTTTGCAGGTTGAGGGCAGCCTGAGCGGGGCTCCTGTCCCATGCGTCCAGCCGGCGGCGCTGTCAGAGCTCGTGGCCCCGGACTCCCCTTCCCTTCGATTTGTAATGAATGGTAGAGTCGTCACTGCTTGGTTGTCCTCATGTCAGCAGAGTTGCTGTTGCCTTGAGTGTCTCTGTTGTGAAGAGAATCACTGCTGAGCAGGACCTGTCCTTCTAGTTTGGACTTTTCTTGGGCTTGGCTTTTGCGGTATAGGAGAGCACACGCTGTATAACCTGCTCAGGTGCCCGGGGTCTCCTGGGTCCGCATGGCAGGCATCCCGTGAGAATGACTGACCCGGGGGACCGGAGCCGGGTCTGCTCTGTGGTCTCTGGAGGCCGAGAGCGGCGTCCGTGCCTGGCTGGGCCTCTGAGGGGCAGAGGCCGTGTGGGTGCAGCTCTGCTCTTGTGTCGCAGGCTCCTGTACGGGTGGGCGGGTGGGTGTGAGGAAGCCGTGCCGCGAGGATGGGGACGGAGAGGAGCAGGGCAGGGTCTGACCCTGTTTGGGCCAAGTTCTTGTTCTGGAAAGAGGCTAGAACAGAAGGCAGAGCAGCCGGTCCTTCGCAATCATGCTGGCCCGGCCCCAGCGAGGCCGGCCCAGCTCAAGGTGCGGCCGCCTCTCTCCAGTCCTTTTTTTTTTTTTTTTTTTTTTGCGGTACGCGGGCCTCTCACTGTTGTGGCCTCTCCCGTTGCGGAGCACAGGCTCCGGATGCACAGGCTCAGCGGCCATGGCTCACGGGCCCTACCGCTCCGTGGCACGTGGGGTCCTCCCGGACTGGGGCATGAACCCGTGTCCCCTGCATTGGCAGGCGGACTCTCAACCACTGCGCCACCAGGGAAGCCCCTCTCCACTCCTTTTAATCTAGTTTTCAGAAGTGAGTGAGTGTGGGGAAAGGAGAGACCCTCGGCTGCAGGATTTCCCAAGGAAGACAGACCTTTGAAGTGGCCAGCGATCCGGGGTCTTGTTTGGGAAGAGCTGGGCCCTGGGGGCCTTCACTCACCCGTGGGTCCAGCCCTGCTTCAGGAGGGGCAGTTCCATCTGGGTGAAGGCAGACAAGGCCCTGCTCTCCTGGGCTGTCTGTTCTAGTGGGGCCGGGGGGTGGACCATAAATAAGGAAATGAGAGAGTTTCCCCAGGTGGTTAAGTGTGAGGAGGAAAGTAACACAGGGTGATGGGATGGCTGACTCATCCACTTGGCCCCCTGTGGTGAGAAGAGCTCTCTGAGGAGGGGACTCGGGTAGAGGCGCGAGTGACAGAGCCAGGCAGGTGGATACCTGGGCGGAGCTGTGCAGGAGAGGGGACCACAGGGTCAGGGCCCTGAGGTGGGAGCAGAGCTGGGCGGTAAGGCTTGAGATGGTCAAGGGCAGGATCCTGCTGGGCACCTTCGGCTGTGTGGAAACACTGGGTTTTCACATCATTCTCTTGACCGTTCTCAGGATCCAGTGACTTTCCTGAATGGACTCCACACTTCTTTGGTCCCCCTGGGTGGAATCACAGGGTCCCTCTTCAGCACGGCCCACGGGCTTTCCACCCAGCCCCCCAGTATCTCCCTGACTTCCCAAGGCCCTGCCTGCTCAGCAGCACCTGTAACTTCACTGTGCAGCCTTCTTGCGTCTGTTTGAACCACAGCCGACCATCGGCAGCAGACTGCCTGGGAAAGTCAGTAAGAGCATCGTGACCGGCAGTGAGCAGGGGGCATGGGAATGGGGGCTCGTGTTTGAAGAGGTTGGTTCACTAGCACATTTTTTTTTTTTTTTTTTTTTTTTTTTTTTTTTTGGGCCTCTCACTGCTGTGGCCTCCCCCGTTGCGGAGCACAGGCTCCGGACGCGCAGGCTCAGCAGCCATGGCTCACGGGCCCAGCCGCTCCGCGGCATGTGGGATCTTCCCGGACCGGGGCACGAACCCGTGTCCCCTGTATCGGCAGGCAGACTCTCAACCACTGCGCCACCAGGGAAGCCCCACTAGCACATATTTTGATGTTGTGTTGAGTTTTGCTTCTTCGTATACCTCTTGGCTGTGAAGACTTGGATGACAAAAAAAAATCAGATGGTAGGAATCCCCTCCCGCCAATCCCTCATATTTCTACACGCAAAGCTCAGCAATTTGTTCTGAGCACCTTTTCTGTGCGGGGTCCCGTGCCAGGTGATGAACACAGAGTGACAGGTGCTGCGAAGGCAGCCAGGCCACAGTGGGAGCAGGAGGGGCGCTGGGCCCAGACGGGACAGGTGACATATCGGTATTAAGGAAAATTCTTGAAGGTATGGCAGCAGCTCTGAATCCTGAAGGATGAGGCGGGGCTCGCAGGGAGGGCGGGAGTGGAGAGAGGAGCCCAGGCCCCTTGCCCCCGGCTCTCGCGGTGCCTCGTGGGGACTGTGAGGCTTGTCTGTGTCTCCGCAGCCTGAGCCGCCTGGGCCTGGTCCTGCTCCTGCTGCAGTACTCGGCCGAGTTCCTCTTCCACACGGCTCGGCTCTGCTACTTTGCCGACGAGAACAACGAGAAGCTGTGAGTGATGTGGACGGGCTGAGGCCCGGCGAAGGGGAGGGCCCCGCGCTGGCGGTAGGCAGGGCGCTGGGGGTATTTTTTCCTGGAGCGTCTTACTCTGGACACCTCATCCCTCAAGCATGAGGCCACCCTCGGCCACCCTCGGACCCTCGGCCACCCTTGGACCCTCTCCCCGCTTGCTGCCTGAAGGCTGACGTACGTCCCCTGCTCCTCGGGCAGGTTTAACGCCTGGGCTGCTGCATTTGGAGTCACCCGCCTCTCCATCCTCACCCTCGCCGTGCTGGCCATTGGCTTTGGCCTCGCTCGCGTGGAAAACCAGGCCTTTGACCCCGAGAAAGGGAACTTCAACACGTTACTTTGCAGGTGAGTTGGGCAGGAGCCTCCCGAACTCGGCACAACTTCTGCCGAAGGTCAGGAGGCCACAGACCGCTGGGTCTCCCGCACCGTGACGTTTGGGGGGGATCTCAGACATCTGGCCCGAGGGGAGAAGAGATGCCAGTCTCCTGCTTCCATCACATCCGTCTTCCCTCCCTGGCCCCGGTCCATCAGGCTGCAGGCCTGGTGCTGGTGCCGCTGGGAGCTCCTCCCCTGGCCTGCGCCTCACTGGGGGTGCCGGGTTCACGTCCAGCCTCTCAGTTGGCTGTTACAACCACGCGTGGGCTCTTTACAGCGTGTTCTCAACAGTGTGGCCAGTGGCCTCGCACAGCGGCCAGGAGGGCAGCGAGGAGGCCACGGTCTCCATGACACCCAGGGCCCAGCGGGGGTCAGAGGTTTGTCCAGGTTGCTCAGCTTCTACGTGGCTCATCGGGTGAGAAGCCGCACTTCTAGAATTATTTCTGCTGCATCGCAGTTCAGTTCACTTGAATCCTTCCGATGTACACAGGGCTTACGTGGGCCGTGCTCTGCGCTGTGGGTCCAGCAGGCATGGGGTGGTGTGACAGGAGCTGGACCCGCATCTGTCACCTCCTCCCGCTGGTCCCTCCGCCCGCCCTGAGGCACCTGGAGCGGAGCCCGGCACGGGCCACGCTCTTCCCGGAGGTGGTGGTGGACCGGGCACCGCGGGGTCCTGGCCTGCCCCCTGCCCAGGGCACGTGCAGCCGGAGCCCACCGAGCCCTCTGCCCACAGGCTGTGCATGCTGCTCCTGGTGTGCGCCGCCCAGGCCTGGCTCATGTGGCGCTTCATCCACTCCCAGCTGCGGCACTGGCGCGAGCACTGGAGCGAGCAGAGCGCCAAGCGCAGAGTGCCCGCCGCGCCCAGGCTGGCAGCCAGGCTCATCAAGAGGGAGTCGGGTGAGTGCCGGGTCCGTGTGGGGCAGGGCGGGCGGGCGGGGACCTCCCCAGGGCCCTGAACCGGGCCTGCCCCTGCCCCGTCCCACCTCCTCCCAGGCCCCGGGCTCCTCGGCTCGTGCCAGGGCCTGACTGGCACGTGGCCGGGCGCACACGGCTTGTGGGTGGGGCTGGCCGACGCGGCGGGGGCCCTCGCGGCCGCGGTGGGCAGGGCGGCGGCTGGGTGGGGAGCTCTGGCTGGAAGCATGTCCACAGGGTGGCCTCGGGGACCCTATCAAGGGCGGCTGATGCTCTCTGGGTCCTCACCCGCCCCCATGCTCCGCATCTCTGCCTGGCCGTCTCCCAGGATGCTGGCTCTGCCTCTCTCTTCAGGGGTGGCTTGAGGGGACACAGTGCTCGGGGGGCAGTGTTCAGGAGACAGCTGCTTCTCCTCTGGCCCCCGCCAGGTCCTGGGGCGCTCGCTGCCAGCCCCGCGCTCTCTGTCCAGCCTGGGGGCCTGTCTGCACCAGGCTCTGTTTCCTGAGTCGCCGGCCTCTCTCCAGGTGTGGCCTGCTCAGCAAGGGCGTGCGCGGCTGCGTGTGACAAGGAGTCAGGCCCGGCTGGCGGTGGGGTGGGTACGGGGTGGTGGGGGGGCTGCAGCCAGGTGTGCCTGACTTTGAGCGAGCAAACGCGGGTGTTTAGGGCAACAATGAAAAGCACGCTTTTGCTGTCAGAGTTGCGCCAGGTGAAGAGTAAGGCCTTGTCCCTGCAGCCTCTCTACCTCCTCCTGACCATTCCGCGTCCTGGGACCTTTGCTGAAGGGGGCTGGTGCCCCGCAGGGGCCCGAGAGGGGCTGAGGCCTAGGCTCTGGCCCCGCCTCAGGCCCCGGTGGGCGGCGGGCGGGCCTCTGCCTGTTCCCTGGTGGCTGTGTGTCATCCAGCCCCTCCCGCGGAAGGACAGTCGGAGACTACCCACCTCAAGTGAAGCAAGACCCTGGGGGGGGGGGGCAGGAGCCCCTGGGAGCCGCCTGCTGGTGCCCTTTGCTGTGGGGGCTGCAGCCTGGGTCCCCTCGGCTCATCCTGTGCGCAGCCTCCTGCCCCTGCCCCAGCGGAAACAGCGCGTTTGTCTCCCTTCATTCCCAGGTTACCACGAAAACGGAGTGGTGAAAGCAGAGAACGGAACCTCCACACGGACTAAGAAACTCAAGTCTCCTTAGGGCCAAAGTGCTGAGAACAGGAATGCTCTCACGGGCCCAGCAGGGAGGCCCCCTCCTGCTCTGATGCCCCATCTCACACAGCAGAAACCTGTCTTCACACAGGGCCTTTTCCTCTTCCTTACGTCTTGGCTTTCTCCTCTTCTTTCTCTGTGAACCATTCTCAATAAAACCAAAAATCTTCCTCTTTCCCTCTCTCCAGCCACCTCACATCCTCACCTCTGTCCTGTCGGGTTTTCTAGAAGCCTGGCCTCTCACGGTTACCTTTCTGCTGGCCTTTTCTTTCTCTTCCTTCACAGCTGTTTCCTTCTCTTTTTACTTGTTAATTTACCTTACTGTGCAATTTTTCTGTGTCTGATTTTTACAACGAGAGGAGGCGAAGCCTGTAGTGCTGGCCGTCCCCCACCCAGTCCCCAGGACCTGTCTGGGTCGGCAGCCTCGTGCCGGGGAGCCTCCACCAGGGCCGGCGGCAGATCCCCGTGCGGATGGGCAGCAGAAAGGGAGACTGGCCGTCCTGGATCGTCGTCTCCTAGGTGCTGAGGAACTGACGAGAGTATGATTCCAGTCCTGTGCGCACCATCTTGAGGCCCCGCGGGGCCGCTGCTAGTTGGAAGTGCCAAGGCATTTGGCTTTGGGACATGATGACTCGGTCCAGAAGGATGGTGCTGACTGTCTCGGGTCCCGTGACTCGGGAGAGCTCACCAGTGGCCGGTCCTGGACACCAGCCCGCTCTCTGTCGGGGACGCGCTGAAGGAGGACGAGTCTTCCCACTCTGCAGCAACGGCAAAGCGACCAGAGCGGCGGGCTCCTCTGCAAAGGTAATGCGGCAGAAATGATGGAGGCGCCAACCTAGCCTTTCTTTGGCAGGTCCAGCTGCATTGCTCTTCCCACTGTTCACCAGCATCCAAAACCAAACCAAGCAGCAGTTAACAAAGCAGCCTGGCCGGGGACGTGCTGGTGCTAAACCCCAGGCCCAGCAGCCCAGTGGGCGCCGGCCTTGCACCTGACTTCATCTCTCTCGCGGCAGGAACACTACGCCCCCCCGTGGCCCCTGGTGCCCCAGGGTCGGTCACCTGGGCCCCTTGTCCTCTGGCCTCGCTGAGTGTCCTTTGGAATTGTCGTTGTCCTCTGCTGCCGTTGGCTGAGCGCACCCACAGCGTTTTAGATGGTTTGAAACCAGGCTGACTCAGAATCGCTGTGCTGGTTAGATGGGCAGACACAGCCATGCTGACGTGCATCTTTTGGCCCCCTTCCCGCACATGTTCTCCCCCTCTCCCCAAAGACAAGGCCTCCAGCAAGGAGCTAGGCTCTCAGCAAGGAGGCCTGAATGCTGTGGGCACAAGGATGTTAGTGTCATTTGATGTGCTGGTCCTCTTCCTGACATCACAGCAGAAACCAAACTGGATTATTACCCAGAAGGTGGGGAAGTGGGTCTTTTCATCAAGGCAGCTCCCTTTTCCAGATCACTTGCATCAGAGAGAAGTTTTAATCTACCAGTGCTTGGGGACTTGCTTCCTGACACCCTGGTAGACCCTCATCTCTCTGTTCAGGATTAGGCCGGGGAGATGGGAAGATCTTCTCTTATTTTGATTACCCTTAGGAGAGGGACAGCGCTTTTGAAAATGCGAATTCCTCCCATCTTTCCTTCTCCTTCCCTGACACTTATCTGGGCTGCAAAGCAGAATGTTGGTGAAAGGGCGGCTTGTACCAACCCCGCAGGCCGAGTCTGGAACCCCTCAGCCATTCAGTCAAATGGTCCTCCCTCCCCGCTCGTGGCTGTGGCTGTGACTGTGACTGAGCCAGTGTTCCTACTTGGCCTAGGGATGCTGTGCAGCCCACGTCAGCCTGCAGCCTCCTAAGCCTGGCCTAGTCCTCTCCAGGCTGTGTCCCTGGCCTTGGCACTGCTTCTGCTGCGTGCAGGAGGCCGCCCCCCCACCAGGGAGCCCTGCTGAGTCATGCCTTCAGCGGGTACCTGGCCTCCTTGCTGTGGGCTCGGGAGGTGGGAGCTGCAGCCGAGGTCCTGCCATCGGGCAGTGACTCTTCTCACATTCAGAGGTGATTGCCGCCAGAGCACACGTGCTTGGTGTGCTCTTGGTCTCCTGTAAGTTGGCCCCTCGTACCGTGTGCCTCCTCAAGGTAGTACCACCAGCCCGGGGCCGGGCTAACTCTTGCCACCTCCTAAAGGACGGGGTTGGGTCCCTGATTGAGAGTTGGGAAAATCTTCCCTGCTGCGTGAAACCCCTGAGACCATGCGTGAGGCTAGCATCCCACCGGCCAGTTTCAGGAATGGTTTGAGGGGAGGGTGAGAAGAAAACTGTAGGTGTTCTGTCACCCCGGGCGTGCCTGGCATGTTTGCTTCAGAGCAGAGCCAAGCCATGGCAGGCTGGCTCGAAGCGTGTTACCAGGGGCCGAAAGAACTCACTTCCAGTTCGTCCTGAGAGCCTGTTGGGTTGGCTTGTCCTGATTTGGCCGTTCTATGTTCTTCAGTCTTAAACACTCTCTGTGAAGGCCCGGCCAGACCCCCGAGTTTGAGAGGCCACTCAGTGCCATCCGTCAGGAGGAGAGCAGATGCTAACCTACCTCAGCAGCCCCCGCCCTCCCAGCATCCCTGGCTGGCACGCATGCAGGGGCGCCGGGCAGGGTGGTGTGGGAGAGGCTGGGGGATGGACGGGTGATCCCAGCTGCCAGTGCCCCTCCTTGGAGGCTCCGTGATGGGAAGTTATTTTTACCCTCCAGGCTCTGATAGCGACACTATAGTAGGTTACAGGTGCCCCTTCTGAAGGCAGGGCAGGTTCTGGGGGAAGGAGAAGCAGGCCGAGCCAGACCTGCATCTTGGCGGAGAGCCTTTTCCCTTCCTGTCCCAAGGTGGAGCTACCAACGTTTCAGAAACCAGACTCGACACCTGTGCTCTGGCCACCTCTGCAGATGCTCCTCTTGACTTGAAAGCCTTGGCGCCGGGCGGGCTGTTCTGGGATGCATGCAGCTGCGTTTGCTGTGGGGACCTTCTTTCTCGTACCTTTGACTTTCTCCTAAGTGCTGAGTAAGAGGTATAGGGGCGGAGAGTGCGCCCCCTCCCGATTCCACACAGAATTGTAGTCCCTGGGAGCCTTTTTAAATTCAAAGTGGCGCGAAGCCCCCCCACCGCTTAGGGTTTCCTTTGGGCTTCAGCCTCCTTGGTGGTCTGGGCTAGGCCTGGGGGCCAGGAAGGCAGGGAGGTCTGCACGGGACTCAGTCCCCTCCTGGGGCGTCAGCGTCCCAGTGAACAGAACCCGTTCCTGATGGCCGGGGCCTCTGCTTCTGTGGGGAGTGGCCTTTCTCCCCCTCCCGGCTGCCATCCTAGCTCACAGCCCAGCTGCTCAGGAGGGACTGGGCGGGACTGGAGAACTGGGTCTTGACAGATCACTTGGAACTCAGGCCGAGTCTCCGGCCCCGCGAGGAGCCTTCACCAGCTCCCCCCTGGAGCCTAGTTCTCTCGTGAACAGTGACTCCTCTGAAAAGGCTGAGGGTGACCGCCAGTCCCCTGTCCCCTCCCCCCAGCAGCTCGCTCTCTTTACGGAGGGCCCCGAAAAGCACGGGGATTCCGGCTCTGTGCGGCCCCTTTTTGCCCCGAGCTGATCCTGTATCTTTTTGTGTCAGAAGTGCCTTATGTGCCATGGTCTCCTGGCCTCCACTTGCACTGTGTGGCCAGCCCCCCGGGCCCTGGCACAGTTACATGTTAAAGGGACACGGATTGTGACAGTTTCACCTCATTCGTCTTAGCCTCACCGCCACCCCCGCCACTGTCCGGGTCTGGTGGTGTCCGGTTTCTCCCTTGTGTCTGGTGGCTGTGAGGGCCCCTTCACGGGCACCTGGCTGTCAGAGAAGCTCGGGGCTCCCAGGGGCACCAGACCTCCGCGCCTCAGCCCACGTGGTAAGCCTTGCTCATCCAGCTCCCCTTGCACGTGAAAGAGGAGGCACCCTGGCTCTAGCCTCTTCTCATCCATACTGCTTCCCGTTCGACCCCGCGTTTCTGCGGTAAGGTGTTTACTCTCACTTCCCGGTCACAAGCGGCGCTCACAGGTGCCTGTCTGACGTGGGTCCGGGGGGACTGTTGCAGGGCACCCCTCCCCCCCACGCGGTGTGCCCGCCCCTCGCCTGCCTCGTCTTTGCTCTTCCGGGTTGTGCAATACCTCTCCTAGCCAGCGGTCTTTCCCACAGGCCGTCTGTCCCTTCCAGTGCCTGGCCACTGGGGTGGACAGGACCCACGGGAGGGTGGTCGTCATCCCCACAGAAGAAACAGTAGCCACGCTCCCTCTGTTGCTGTCATTCTTGTGACCCTGGTGGCACTCTAAGTGGAACACTGTAGCATCATCTTTGAAGTCCATATAGTTTTAAAACTGTTGAAAAGGAAAAACACCATCCTCATGATGGGGCATTAATAAGTCAGCATCTGGGAATAAGATCCGTGTGACACCTGCGGCATCACCATCAGTTCGCTGTAAGGGTTCTAGAGTTTCTTGTTCGTGTGGAGAGGAAGGAGGTTTTCCTGGGAATCGGCCACACATGGACAGCCCTGGTCATCTGATCAGATCTGACTGGTTGTAAGTACCACCATTTCCTTGGGTACAGATTCAAGTGTTTATGTAATGAGACTACACACCTCATTTTTTCAGTTCCTCTTGTTTAACAAACATCTGAAGGATGAGCTGAGGCTGCCGGTGCCCTGAGCAACTCATAATGCAAATGTGGACAAAGCGTTTTTTTGTTTTTCTACTTTAGCCTGTTCATGTTATGGACCAAATTTCAACAAGGAACTCAAGGAAAATTTGTACCTGCCATATTTATGCTTTCATGTAAAAGGGTTTTTTTTGGGGGGGGGGGGCTCTTTTTACTTTCAGTGAACATTTTTCCAAATCCTTTTTTTTTCTGTCCGGTTTTAAAACAAATTACGGTTTTGTATGGATTTTTTTAAATGTACATTTTGAAACAAATGATCGACAAATATTTTTGAAAAACTGAATAAAAGGCCTTGACTTATTCGCCTGCTTGTCTCGGGTATAATTCCTTCTATTCCTTTTTATCTGGATGCTCACATTTGCTTTTTTTTTTTTAAGTTGCAAGCATTATTTTATTCCACCTCTTAGATGGCTATCTGGGAATTGATTAGAGTATGTTTCTCCCCTGAAGACTGAAAAGGATAAGAGCGCTTTAAAATAATGATATCGCTGGCAACTTTATTTTTTGCAAGACTTTGCATCAACTAGTCTTGTTTGTATTGCTCACATTTGCTTTTATATGAAGAACGAGTTTGCATCAATTTCAGCCTCATTTCTAACATTTTTCACTGTCATTTCTTGCGTACATTTGTTCGTTGTGGTCATGTGAGTTAGGGAGTTGGAATTAAGGACGGAGAAGGAGTCAGTTACATTGAGTGGTGGGTAGTAATAAGCCTCATTTTTATTGGTGTCTGTAACAGGGAAGTGTGAACATGGAAAGGAGTGTGGTGACACGGGGTGTGTGGGCAGGAAGCGCCACAAGGAGGCGCACTGTGCCTGATGCCTGCCGTACGACTGCCCCCATCATCCATGGGAATATGTTCCGAGACCCCCCCCCCAGTGGATGCCTGAAACCCCAGAGAGTTCTGGGCCCTAAATATGCTATGTTTTTTCCTACACATACCTACCTATGATGAAGTCTATAAGTTAGGCACAGTAAGAGATTCTAACAATGATAATAAAATAGAACAATTATAACCATATACCATAATGAAAGTTATGTGAATGTGGTCTCTAAAAACATCTTACTGAGCTGCACTCACCCTTCTTCTTACGATGTGAGGTGACTGAGTGCCCGAGTGACAAGGTGGCGTGAGCTGGATGATGCAGACGCTGTGGTGGAGTGCTGGGCTCTACTGGCCTTCTGATGACGTGTCAGGAGAGGATCACTTGCTCCAGGTGACCGTGGATCACTGAGCCCTGACAATGCCGACAGCTGGGGATCCCGGGAGGGACGAAGTGGGAGGGCGCAAGATCTCATCACGCTACTCAGAATGGCACACAGTTTAAAACTTAAGAATTATTTCTGGAGCGTTCCATTTAATATTTCCAGACCATGGCTGACCATGTTTAACTAAAACTGGAAAGTGAAAGAGTGGATAAGGGGGACGACTGTGTTATGGTGTCACTTGGCTAGGAGAGGATGGGGCTAAGTCTGTGTGTAAAAGCCACCAGATGTCAGTGTAGGTGCTGAATAGATGCTGTCTGAGTGTTGGTACCAGCAGTCGGCACAGGACACTGCTGGCATCAGATGGCCTGTTGCCCATGGCTGTCTGCTGTTTTTCCAAAACCATCTCCAGAGAGAGCTTAGGAGATGAGTGCAGTTAGTTGAGGACAGGCACGGGCTATGAGGACCCAACAGGAACCATGTACCTGAGGCAAAGGCACGGTGCCAACGGAGAGCAAGCGGCTCAGCCGGAGAAGCTGGTGACCTTGGGCAGTCGGCCTTTCTGAGCCTGCTTGCTTATCTGGGCTCAGCATTTTGGGGGTGTGTCGGCTGGCTGGTTTGCTTGTTTTCACAGGGAATGGTGGTTGTCTAAGATTTAGGGATAGTAAATGCTAAGTTCATGGTTCAAATAAAGCACTCAATAATTTCTTATAGGAACATGCTCGTGCTCCTTCACCAGCAGGCGAGTCACTCACCCAAGTGACCCTTGATTTTCTGGAAACATCTAGAGACATCTTCTCAGGTACCCCTAAAGCCTACAGATACGGGCTTGATACACTCTAATTAGATGGTATTTTCAGGCCCCTGGTGGTACAGACAGAGTACAGGTAGGAAGGAATCAGAGACAGCATTTATAAAGATGAAGTTGGTGGCTGACGTCAGCTAAGGAGCAGCCCTGCTTCTGAAAAGTCCATCAGAGCTCAGTCGATAACCAGTAGCTGCTACTAGTCTTTTCTGCCTATCTTGAGGCCAGGCTCTCTAAAAGCAGTCAATTTTTTTTTTTTTTAACTACAGCCCACATAAAGAAATGTTTTACATCATGACCCAGTAAATACACACTCATTTAAAACAAAAGTTTCATGAAACAAATCAGTGTACCACACTGTGATATTTCCTATTATCACAGTGTCTGCCTGCCAATGCAGGGGACATGGGTTCGAGCCCTGGTCCGGGAACATCCCACATGCCGCAAAGCAACTAAGCCCGTGCACCACAACTACTGAGCCTGCGCTCTAGAGCCTGTGAGCCACAACTACTGAGCCCGCGTGCCTAGAGCCCGTGCTCCACAACAAGAGAAGCCACTGCAGTGAGAAGCTCACGCACCACAACGAAGAGTAGCTCCCGCTCGCCGCAACTAGAGAAAGCCCGCACGCAGCAACAAAGACCCAACACAGCCAAAAATAAATTTAAATAAATAAATAATAAAATGAAATAAAGTGCAGGCCTACTAATGGGCCTAGAACTGCAATTGGAAAACATGGCCTCTACTTCCCGGCGGGGCGTGGCGGGCAGCACTGTCTGCAGCACCACACCCGACCTGATGTCTGTCTGAGCAAATTCTATGCATCCTCCTCCTGCATTAGTCAGGGTTCTTTCTCCAGAGAAGCAGAACCGATAGGCTGTATATATAGAGAGAAAGAGACTGACGATTAAGGAATTGGCTCCTGTAACCGAGGAAGCTGACAAGCTCCAGTATCTGTAGCCAGAGACCTGGAGGCCTTTGAGGGCTGACGGAGTAGTTCCTGTCTGAAGGCCAGCGGGCTGGAGCCCCAGAAGAGCCAATGTCTCAGTTTGAGTCCAAAAGCAGGAAAAAGCCGATGTCAAAGCAGGCCGAAGGAATCCTCTCTCATTAGGGAAAGGTCAGCCTTTTTGTTCTATTCAAGCCTTTAATGGAATGGGTGGGGCCCACCCACATTGGAGAGGGCCATCTGCTTTACTCCATCCACCAACTCAAATATTAACCTCATCCAGAAACGGCCTCACAGACACACCCAGAAATGTCCAGGCACCCCATATCTCAAGTTGACACATAAAATTAACCATCACAACACCCCTATCTCCCCTCCCTAAATAAGGCACCAACCTTAGCTCCTACAAGATCCAATTTAATTTAGACTTCAGTGGTAAAAGAACCAAAAAGGAAATATAATTTCAAGAGCTCTGTAAATGCCTCTATGAAGAGTACAGGTATACGTAGGCCCAACCTCAAAATACTGTGCTTTCTGTCCTCAGCAGGTCAGTTGGAGAAAGCACGGACGAAGTTATAGTAGTCAATCTTGTCTTCTCCGTGAGAGCACATCCTGATGAGCTGCGGGAGAGAGAAGGGGAGCCCGTGAGAGACAGATGGGCTGCCTTCAGCTCAGCTGCACAGCGCTCTTTAGTGCCTGTCCCTGCCTTTGTAAACCAGCTCAGGCTTTTTATATATCCTTGGCTGATTCTGAAATGATCCTGTAAACCGGGAAGGTAGGTCAGAGTATCCCCATCTTCACGAAATCAAAGCTCAGATGGAGTAAATGGCCTGCCCAAGGTTTCAGGTTTGACATTTGTAAGAGCACTGTCATTCCCGAGGCATTTCTGTTCTTTATTCAATTACAAGACTGTCCATCCAGTCAGCACAGAGTAAGACTTAGAATAGCAGAGGTTGCTGCTATCACAGCCTAACAGAAAAATCTAGTCATGTCACTGCTCAAACCAAGTCCCCTGAAACACCTGTGAGTGGCAGTAAACACACTGATCTGCTGTGGCTACTTTAAGGACATGTGCAAATCCATCCCGCCCCTGCTTTCCCTGTCCCACCTCCCCTGACTGCAGCTCCTCTCTCCCAGGTCAGGTCACAGATAGCACAAATGACTTAGAAATCGAAGGCTGGGTGTGCTGTCAGCCTGAGACTTGGGAAGCTAGATGGGCATTTGGCCCACTTGAACTGTTATCCTTCTACCTGCCTCCCTCACTTCTTGCTAATGTTCCCATCTGAAAAACCCTCATCTCCAACCTAGTCACACTGGCCCCAAACAGAAGGCTTCCCTAAATGACACCTAACTTCCAAACATCCCTTTTTCCTAATGTATCATTAAGAAGGACTACAGCATCACAATGTTCTTCATCAGTGAGAATGTCTCAATAACATTAGCCACCATCGTTGGCAACGGTGCGAGAAAGTTTGTCCCGACTTCTAGGGGAACCCTGGTCAAAGGGGTTTATAACGAAAAAGAGGTATGAAATGCCCTCTTCAGCTCCCTCATGGAAACTCTCGGAGGAGATCGTCCATGTCATCCCTCCACTGGCAGCTGACCACGGACCCCCTACTGGCGGATGCTGCTGTCCAGGGCAGCAGTCACGCCCTCTCCCACGCCAGCCCTACTGATGGGCTAACGTAGGCTGTGAAGGTGTCAAAGGCTCCCACCATCCTGCTCAGTCCACCTTTTCAATCTGCCCTTGGCAGCCACCCTCCTTTAGCCCTGACATGGTTCACTGGCCGCTCTGTGCTGTCTGGCCCCTGCCCACTTAAAGAGATGCCCTACAGCAGCAGTTAGGAAAGGATGCCAATGCCAGACTCAAGGGCAAATGCCATAATCAGGACCAAACAGCAGATCTGATGTGAACACCCCAAGTCTTCCCCAGTTAAAATGAAATACAAATGCAACTGCCTTTGGGAACGAGTGAGCGGTGCCCAGCCTCTGCAATCAACCCCGAACAGGAACTCCTACTCACCTCCTTAACCAAGGAATCATCAACTGGGAGGTGAAAAGAGTCACAGATTTTAAAGAACGTCTCCCTGTCCACATGTCCTGAAGCTTCCTTGTCATAAATTTGAAACATCTTGCGGATGTTGTCCCTGCACGGGCGATCTTTCCCTTGCCTCTGGATCGTGTCTATCAGGGCCTCCAGTTCCTGCACGCCTGGGTCCTCTTCCATTTGCTGGCTGTGGAGAGAGGAGATGGATGGATGTGGTATTTATTCTCGAATGGTCTTACCTCAGTGACCGAAGTTCTCACTTGGTGAAGTTGGGGGAAGCATCTGACGACAAACAGCTCTGATGCTGAGCCGATCAATAACTGAACACTTGCCTGCAGGGGCTGGCAGATGGCTGAGCTCACGGCAGGAACCCTGACTAGGCTCAGCCTCCCTTGCTGCCATCTATTAAATCCCTGCAAAGAGCCAAATCTACCACCACTACCACCCCCAAGTCTGGTGTTTGTGGGA